TGAGCTGTTTGATGTGAATACTGGGAACTGAACTCTGGTCCTATGCAATAGCAGCACACATTCTTAATCTCCTCAGCCAACTCTCTATCCCCTTGTATAACTTTTGATATTGTATTTCAGAGTCATTTTTCCAGTTCACCAAATACACTGAATTTCTTAGCTGCAAGTTCAGTTCCTTGTTGATATACTTTTAATATTTGCACTTTAATATAATATACATAAATTATGCTTTTCTTTCCCTTTTTGTTTTTGTTTTTTCGAGACAGGGTTTCTCTGTATTGCTTTGAAGCCTGCCCTGGAACTCACTTTGTAGACCAGGCTGGCTTCGAACTCACAGAAATCCACCTGTCTCCGCCTCTCGAGAACTGGGATTAAAGGCTTGCTTTGTCTTGATCATTTTTGTTAAGACGATATAGTTTCATTGATTTTTAATGAAACATTTCTGACTTTATCAATTTTCTGATTTTTAATATAATTCATTGTTTCTCATCTAATATTTTAAATACTCTATTTTGTTTCCCAATATTTTTCCTTCAGACATCTTTTTGACAATTTTAAGTTAATTTTACTAAGGTCAGAGAACTGCATGTGTTGATTATTAAAATGGCACAAACAGAATGTCTTGTGACGATAGAGTTATGGTCTTACAAGTCTGAAGTCTGGAAACTTGAGCACAGAATGTTCCTTTAATCATCCTTCCTCTGACACCTTTGGGGACACCCTTTTCTCATTTCTTTTGAGTTCCTGGTAGCTTCTTGGCAATGCTCAGTGTTCCTTTGCTTGCAACATTTGGGGCTCTGCTTTCATCATCACATAATGTTGCCCTCATTACATGTCTATGCATCTCCTCCTGCCATATTGATTGAAGGCCAACTTTCCTCCAATATAACATCTTCTCTCCTTACCTGGTCACTCTGATGATCTGGCTACAAATAAAATCATATTCAGAGGTACTGCCAGTTAGTATTCCAACACATCTCTTTGGGGCTCAAAATTCTCCCAACAATATCAATCTTTTAAAATTGTATTGAAACTGAAAATAAAGTTTCCCTTACATAATCCATCTTGCTGAATGTATCATGGGCACTTGAAAAATTATATTCTAAAGCTTAAGGATATAGTGCCTTAGAGATATCAATTGGGATATTGTGAATAATGATGTTGCTTGGGTGATATTTGACTCAAATAATATTTTTGTCTATTATTCAGTTACTGAGAAAGGAATGTTTAAATATTCACCTATGATTATCATTTTAGGGATAACATCAAAATCTCAGGAACATTGAAAAAGAGGGGACAAAAAGATTGTGAGGACTAAAGGACCAGGATATAACTTATATGTCTCCTATCCTTTGCTTCTTTACGTTCTGGGAACCTCTTCTCCTTTTCTAGTATCTACAATTGACCCAAACTATTCTTTTGGTACTTGGTTCAGAAAAATCACCAGTTTTCTATCAGATAATTAACTGGTTCTATGACTAAGACTAAAGGCCTGCCTCCCAGGAATGAAACTTTTAAAAAAGGAAATTCACCATTTGCACTCATTACTTTCTATATCATGACCATGAATGCAATATGGCTGGCTGCTTCAAGCTCCTGCTGCCTTGACTTCATTGCCATGAAGGACTGTAACTTGAAGTGTGACCTAAAATAAATCCTTTCTCCATGAAATTTCTTTTGCATCACACAATCAAGAAAAGTAACCAAGAAATATACTATCTCAATTGTTGGCAATTAGAACAACAGTTAACTACTCTCAATTACATATTTCTGTGTCAACTTATAATTGGCTTTAAGTTATGATAATAGGTCTAATCTCACCTTGTTCCTCATGTTCTTTGGACTACAAGCAGCCAAGGACATACATTTTTCATGTTTAAGGTAAAAGTACCAGAAAACAAAATGAACTATACAAGCATATTTTAGGTTTTTGTTTTCACCACTTCCAGCAATATTTTATTAACTGAAGCAAGGTTTATGGCCAAGACCAATATAAATGAAATAATATAAAACAATTTGCTCTTGCAGCATAGAAAAAGAGAAAAGATGATAAAATTCATAGACAAAATAAATATAATATTCCTGATCTTATTTCTACTTTTGTCCATTAGAATGGAATTTGCCAAAGCCATGCTTTGTCTACTATTAAAATTTCAAGTATGAAAAATGGTACCACACACAAATGGGTACAAAATAATTCTTTTTTGAAAATATGCATGATTGAAATACTGATGGAATTACTTTGTCCCTTCTTTCTGTAATAGCATCTATTTCAAATTCAGTCAGTGACAGTGTGGTAGGACTTGAATGTGGTTTCCTGAGGAGATACTAGTGAATGCACATTCTCAGTGTGAAAGGTGAGAGGGCAGAGACCTCAAGACTCAGTGGCTCTCTTTGAATCATTAGAAGTGACTGTAGTTTGAGAGAACATGGCCTGTTGCTCTACTAGGTATGCAGCCTTCTACATACAAAGCAAAGACAATGACAGACAGCCTGCTGAACGTGTGTGACTCAAATAAAAATAAAATAAAATAAATAGCTGTGGTCATGGTGTGGAGTCAATGAATGAGAAACAGAATCTTTTTTTATCTTCAAGCAAAAATTCTCTATGTCATATCTCATCTCTGCCAGATCCTGTACTAAGATAGTTAGCTGCTTCGCAGGAAAGTGGTTAGAACAATTTTCTTTAAAATATTGATAATTGATAAAGGCATATTATTTTAACCACTTTACCATTACGTGGGTAGCCCTAAATCTTAAGCAGAAAATAGGTGAGAATGAAGCTACGTGGGGACAAATGACTTCTTTATAATAACATTTTTATACACACACACACACACACACACACACACACACACACACAC